ACAGAGATGGTGGGCAACCTTACAGCTCCTAGAGGGTCACAGCAACATAGAGATGGTGGGTAACCTTACAGCTCCTAGAGGGTCACAGCAACATAGAGATGGTGGGTAACCTTACAGCTCCTAGAGGGTCATAGCAACATAGAGATGGTGGGCAACCTTATAGCTCCTAAGGCAGGGCTATTCAAACCACGGTCATCAAGGGCCGAGCACTGCTGTTTTTCCAGCTTTCCTTTACCTGAGAGCCAGTTGTGAAGCCTCTGGCCAATTAGAGCCAGAAATTATTACACTAATTGAAAACAAGGCCTGGATTTGGAATCGAGGGCCAGATTTGAATAGGGGGGTCCTAGAGGGTCACAGCAACATGAGAGATGTTTTCTTAAATTTTACCATAAGAAGTGTCCTGCATTTTCACTTTCTAAATCTCTGCCAACTTAATAGCATTTTTTTTTTACTCATTTTTGATACTTAAAGTTCACATAAGAAAGGAGATATATTTGATATATGGTAAGCAATTCTCTTGCAGCTGAACATTGTATTCCAAAGTAGAAATGAAATGTGCTACTTGCCAGAGCATATGTGTGCCATTTAAAATATAACTTTTTGAACTGTCCTACTGAAAACTGAGCTAGGAAGAGTACATGTACAGTCGTTAATGACAGGGAGGTGTATTCACCCATGTGCAATCTGTTTAAGACTTTCCTGAACACAAACTATTTGACAAGTCTGTTCAAGAAGAGAAATGAACAGAACTTTGGGATTTGAGGGCTAGAGGGGAGCAGGCTGATATATTGTAGAATATATTCGGTGAGAAATTGCATTGAAGTTTCCCAACTGACAGAAGATTTTGATACATAGCAAGCCTACAAAAGGGAGGAATCCGAACAGCCCACACAATTCATTGTAGCAGTGTTTTCATCCAGAGAAGCTGAAAAAATGTGTAATAAAATATGTATTTCCCTACTTAAGAATGTTACTACAAACCCCAAACCCCCAAAAAACATATAAATGGTTAATATGACCATCTATAGTGGGCATTTATAGAGTAGAAAGAACTGATCTGACAAAGCTTAAGAGCTCAGCAATGAACACTTTTAATTAAACAATACAGAGCATGACATCACAGACAAACTGAAAACTGGCTTTTTGGGTGTTTTTTAACCAAACTGTCAGTTTTTTGTCCTAAAACATAGAAACCCATATATCGTAAACAGACTTGGACGTATTAATTTTCTTCAAACCACTCAAACATCTCAAAAACGTTTACTGTGGAACTCCTGATTAAAAAAATAAGTCTAGCGCAGTGAACCCAAACTGCAGTTTAAACAACTCAAACCACAATTCATCATGTAAAATGGACACAGTGAAAAATATTTAACAGGAAACTAAAAATAAGTCAAACCTCAAGGCACAGTTTAATACTGAAAACGTAATAACATTACAAAACTGTAATGACATTTACCTTTAAAAAAGGAAAAAAAACACAGGGACTGTATTAGCAATGTGTGCAAACTATTTTTGGTGCAACTTCAACAAGAATCATCCCTTATCCCATAAAAAGGGACAAGGGAGAGGAGACTGGATCTTCTCAGCAGGAATTTCATTGTAATACAGCAGTTAAAGAGGTTTAACACCTAGCTTGTGTTTCTTTAAATAAACTAAGACAACGTACCATGACAACGCAATGAGACTTGTGCAATGAGACATTTAAGCACGTGACATTCTGGTTAGACACCGTCTCACCACGCATACCACCTGAAATGGGGGAATCCAAGTCAAACATACAAGCAGTAATGCTCACGCTTAATCTAGAAAACTGTAGAAAGTAATCATTTGAAAATCCCATATCACCATATGCACCAGGGGTCAATTCACTTCATTTACAATTAGTATATATATATATATATAGAGTTTGTTTTATTATTATTATTATTATATTCTCTTGAGGCAGCACTACAAACTAAGAAATTTGGCATCAGTAACAAACCATAACATATTAATCTTTCATCCATCTGACATGCAGACATCACCAGACAAACAGGCTAAATCAGACCATCCAGTCTGCAATGCAGGCGAGTCACAGACACCATGAAAACGGGAAACAGAGTGTGTACTGTTATGATCGTGCTCCGATTGGTCAGTGACCAGCTGTACTGAGCATGCTCTTTTTTCTTGTGATATGCAACAAAACCAATAAATATGAAAAGTACCAGAATTTCCTCAACAAGATCCAATTAAAAAACCCTTTTCATGGGTCAGTCATATGTTTAAATTTGAGTTTTTACTATTTACTTGTAGTGCTTAAGAATAGCTAGCAAGTCACCGTGTCCCCAATTATAGCACCCCCTCAAGAACAATGCCACCACTGTGCTCAGAGTGGCTCTTTTTAGTCTTGTATGAAATGCGCACAATATTTAAAAAAAATAAATAATAATAAAAACACAAGTAAACACATAAGAATCAATGTGAGGAACATTCTGGCATTTAGCAGCAATGGCACAAAGGAACAGGACTCTGTACCCAAGTCTGGACCAGCAAAACCAGCACCACTGAAGTGCCCACCAAAAAATTCTTAAAAATAAATCAAAATAAATAGGCGAAAAAAAGACACTCCCTCACACACTCTCATTCTATAAAAAAATAATCTGGAATGGCAAAAATGAACTTTTTTCAATAATAAACAAGGGCATGCAGAAGATACTGCAAGACAATTAAATCAAAACTCCGAACCCTGTTAAAATTTTTGTACCCCAAGAAAACAAACCTACCACTTACTTCATATGTATAATCTGCCAAAATGAAAAAGTTATAGCTGCCAAAATAAGGTTTTATTCGTATATGCAAAGTTCATCAATCTAATATGCTAAATAATTTAAGGCCAGAATCTACGTCTGCTGTCATGCAACCCATGTTGATGGTGAGATACACAGGCAGAGGAACAAGAGGTTTGAGACTAGGACTGCTTGTGTAAAACGAGTTAACATATTAAATATAAATACAAAAACAATTAGTACATTTCCTTTACATATCAAAAGAAAATTCTTTGCAGAACACAAACAAGACTTAAAAAAATAGTAGTACCAAGATATTGGTTGGTCTTTATGGCAACATTATGCGTTCTACGGGGGGGGGGGGGGGAGGGGAGGAAGCCTAAAGAGTAGCGTTTCCGGATTAGGAAACACTGCTGTAGAGGTTTTGTTAAGGCTTCGCAGTAAAAACAATACTTTGAGGTCGTTCCCACCCCTAATTTTCTGTCAAAATGTAGATTCTAGTGTCGTAAGCCAGCGTGGACATTCATCATGCAACCAACACACAGACAGACACACAGACAGACAGACACAGACAGACAGACACAGACAGACAGACACAGACAGACAGACAGACTCACCCAGTTATACAAGCCTTGAATTCCCCCTTTGGGAGAGTCTTCCTAAAAATTAAGGTAAGTAGGCCATTTTTCCTCTAAGCTATGCTCTGCTCCGAAGCTGGAGCCTGAAACTGGCTTGTTGACCCACATCTTCAGTGTTTGGGGTTCAAGAGTCCCTTCACAGAGCCCCGGCTCAGTAGTCAGGGATGGGAGCCTGCTCTGGAGAGAGGCTGACTGTTATGTTCTTATACAAGCTGCTCAAAGTGACCTCAGGAACATACTTCAGGTTGTTCAGACCATCCAGGTGCTGCCTCTCTTTGGAGTACCTCAGAAGCTTATACCTGGGAGAGAAGGAGAAGAGGATCAACCATATGTTTATATATGCAAACACGCTGATTATCCAGATACCAGACAACCCAGATCTTGCACCTGCCGAAATAGCTTCTATGATTAAGTTTATATTTCATAAAAAAATAAATAAATAAAAAACCCACAACAAGGTTATTACCATTAATGAAAACTAAAACAAGGAGATGAAATGTTCATAAACTGAAATAAAAAATAATAAACTACAATGAAACAAAAATGCTAAATATTGCTTCTGAACCTAACAAATAAAACATTCCAACATACTTTCCATTGCTGTTTATTTAGCTGAGGTAATAATACCTGGAAACTGTTTGAGGACATACTAACATAATGTGCATTGTGCATTCATGTAGGATTCTCTAAAGATCAGACACATAAGCAGCTCCACAACTTTCAGCCTTTCCTTTGAAATAAAATTACAAAAGTGAAATATATACATAGAAACATATCTCCAAAATAAAAATTAATAAAACAGCACTGAACACTAAAACGGATCTCAAATGAAACAGATATAAAAATCTATAATAATAAAAAAATATATATTAAAAAATTTAAAATATCAAAACTACGATACCACTGCCTCACAAACACGAAAGTAAATGTTATTCGAGAGACTTATGGGATACACAGCTGTTAGCCTGTCTGTGGGGTCAACAAAATGCTTTCATGCATTAGGTTACTCATGGGATTTTAAAGTATGTAACAGCGAAGGACCATGAGCATTTTAGTCAAGGATCACATGTATGGTTGGAGTTAAGGGAGATCCAGTAAGATTACAAGAGTTTCTGAACCCAGCATCTCTAAATGCAGATTTAAGCGGATTTAATTCAAATTGTTAGAACAATTAAAGGGTTAAATTAATGAAGGCCAGACCACTCGTGTCCCTCCAGGACCAAGCCGTGCAAGCCTGTCTTGAAAAGAACAGAACGAGCAAGAATTAGGATTTGTCCTTTTTTTTTTTACAAGGCTACTTTGAGACATTACCTAGAGACGAGGAAGCAATGGTATGTGCCTTCAGTCACTGGTTTAGCCCACTTCCTATTGATTAACATACTGAGTCACTTCATGTAAACCAGTCACAGACTGAGTATCTGGCAGTCCCACCCTCCATTTCACCCTTGTTTAATACTGCTGTGTCCTTTATTCTTATGTCATAAAAATGTGCTTAAATAAAAAAATTAAAAAACGAGTTTTAAAAAAGGCTTTCAGTTTTAAGAAGTGTATGTTTGCGCATCTCTTCAAAGCTCTGGCCTGAGGTCCAGTAAAGATGGACTCACCTCCCCAAGAACTGCACTTCTCCTCGATGGTGATGTGGGATCGACTTGTATTTTCCTATATCGCCGTCGGGCCGGCTCACATTGAATCCCGAAAAATGCACTCTGAAATGGAAAATCATAAACTGAAGTGCCCAGACCCCCGAAGGTGCAGACTGGGACGTGGGGTGTGACATGTGATTTCACCTTAGGAAAAAAATGCAATTAGTCTGAAAAAAATGAGTGGGGTACAGCTACCATTGCAGATAAGATTCAAAAACAACTACAGCAAAAATGCTACTTATCATAATAAACGTAATAATGTGGGATTATGGCATCAAAACACCAAATAGCAAACATTAGCTATTTCTCCAGCCATAAGGCATGAAAATCTGTAGGTTCATTTGTATAAAGGCATTTTAATCCCGCAGATTAAATTAACCGGGAAACCAAATAGTCTAGGATCTAAAAAGGCAGCTTGTACAACATCGCAGCAAAGCAGGCTGCGAAATTAACTATGTTTCTCCAGCATGACGGCTAGTTATGTGAAGTGTCAGGCTTTGACCTAGTGGACAATGTGGTCTATAGCTGGCCCCATTTCTAAAGAGATTTCTGCAAGCCAGACTTCCTTCAGCTTGTGGCAAAAATCTAGCAAAAGGCAATGTTATGTGCTGAAAACCACAAGTGCTAGCTCAATTCATCTAAGACAGCAGTCCCAATCTGTTCTTCCCCTGAAGGCCAAATTCCACCAGCAAAACAAAGCCAAGGTGCACTGCATTGTGGGGGAAGGAAATCATATGCCAACCCATAAAACTGGAAGGTGACAGCCTGATAGTTCCATCAAAACACAAGCTATTCTATTAGCATATTTGCCAAAAGAGGGCAAGGATGGGAAGGACTATGGGGCATTGTTTCCATTGTCAACGAAAGAATATTTACATTGAATTTTACTTCCGACTAACCACACTCATCCATTATTGTCCACGAGGTATTCAAGTTGTTTTTAAGTTATAGCTCCACTGTCTGGCTGATCTGTGTAAGGTGAACAGCCTGAAGCGAAAAGAACATAAGAAATTTACAAACGAGAGGAGGCCATTCGGCCCATCAAGCTCGTTTGGGGAGAACTTAACTAATAGCTCAGAGTTGTTAAAATCTTATCTAGCTCTGATTTAGAGGAACCCATGGTTTTAGCTTCCGCTACACTAGCAGGAAGACTATTCCATACTCTGACTACACGCTGTGTAAAGAAGTGCTTCCTCAAATTTGTTTTAAAATGTTCTCCTGCTAATTTCCACTTATGGCCACGAGTTCTAGTATTTAAACTAATATTGAAATAGCCATTTGGCTGAACAGCATCCAGACCCGTTAGAATCTTATATACCTGGATCATGTACCCCCTTAGTCTCCTTTGCTCGGGACTGAACAGATTCAGCTCAGCTAACCTCTGGGTGACACTAGTGTCAAATTCAAGCTTTAGACGGCTAATAATAATCAAAACTAACAATGCAATGTGAAACCAAAATTCCAAATTTTAGAAAACTGTGAAGAGCTATGTCATTAGCACTGTCTGTAAGATAACAAACCTGTTCCAGAGATCGTCATCCTCTCCACCCCAACCCCAGAAGGCATTGGGGAATCCGTTGATCTTCCGAAACTGCTCCACCGTCAGCCCACTCACACCCCCAAAGAACTCGCTGTAGGGGAGTCTGAAACAGACAGACAGAACCATAACGTCTGACCAGCCCTGGGAAAAGGACACATGGCTGGATGTACTAATAAAAGCACCCCAAACCCAGCAGAAGGTGCTAGAGGAAGAACCAGCCAACAGAACAGCTCAGGTCTCCAGCTAACTTAATAGAACAGAATTAAATACCTCTATTGTCATTACACACAGCAGATACAATACAATGTAACAAGCAACTCCGGGTGTGATTCTTCAAGGAAAATAAAAGAAATATATAAAATATGTATATACAGCAATGTGAATGAGACATGACAATGAAAAAATTTACTAAACATATACAGTAGAACCTTGGAACTCAAGTGCCTCTTATCCCAACAAACTCGAACGTCGAATGGGTCTGCTAATTTTTTTTCGTACCTGGACAGAAATCTTGGAACGCAACCACTCCAGCTAAAACTTGTATGGGTCGAGACATGTTCAGCTCTACCATTCTGGACCTTGAACAGGTCGTTCGAGAAAAATCTAACTGCAACTCCACCAAAAACCAAATAAAACAGACCTGCTAAAATTTGTACAGATCTAGATGCGTCTCCCCTTCCAAACAATAATCCCTCCACCCTCCTCTTCTCCACCTGCCACCTCCAGTTTGCCATCAGCTCACTTCAGTACAGGTAAAGTGCTCATAAATCGTCATTTATTACATGTTTATTGCTTTGGTATTTGTGCTTTTTCATGTGTGAATTAGTCTTATATTGATGGTTCATGCTTTTTATCATTAGTTAGGTAGGTAGATAGGATTAAACAGGCAATCATCTGGGGGTCTGAAACAGAATATATCCATTTACAATATTTCTTATGGGGAAATTCAACTTGGACCTCAACCAAATTGCAACTCGACCAGCCTTCTGGAACAAATTAAGTTCATGTTCCAAGGTACCTCTGTACAAATCAAATAAAAAAAAAATAAAGACTGTGGCACAAGTCACATTTCTTATCACCTAATTGTGGAATTAGCCACATACCACGTTAAAAATCATTTGTCAAGTGCAGTTAAGAAAAAAATAACCGTTTTATAAACTTCAAAGAGCAGGACAGTGAGTTCGAGACTGATCTTGTAGTCCTACATCCATGCAGACTCATCTGCAAGCAGATACATCAGGTTGAAAGGTCAGGCCTGGAGACACAGGATGTTCCCACCTGGGTCAATATTAATACTATAACATACACTTGGGGTCTGTTGCAAAGAATTACATTTACTCATGTAAAGTGAAGGTAAGGTCAGGCAGTGCTTTAAGTCATGCATTTCCATAAGCACAAATCCAAAGCAGGGCTGTGGTGAGCCTGACATAAGAGAGCAGCCACCAGGTAATCACAAGGTACACAAAACAAATGGGCAGGGGGGTATTTATTTATCAATATATATTTCAATAGAAACATATGAACCTAAAATTTTTTTTAAAAAAAACACGAACAAAAACCAGACTGACGTTGAGGGAACTTCAGCTCCTCTAGACACATCAGAAGTACCACATTTAGGAAACAGGTTGGTAGGAATAACACAACGTGACAACTACACAAGAGGTGAGAGCTCTGTTTCAAATCCAAACCCTAACTCTGAGCTATCACTTTAGCACAACCAACACTTCTACTGTAAATCACCATGACAATACTTTCTTATTGGACTTACCACACCTGTGTCTTGTAGTGGCCTAAATTAAGCATTCCCTCGAGTCAAAGGTTGCAATGACAACGAAAGAGCCACAGAAACAAGAGGTTTAATCAATGCTCACTGTCACTGTAGAAAAGAGAGGGCAGGGCAGACTCACATGTACATGTACTTGTCAAGTTTGGCAGCGAAGTGGCGCGGCATCTGGCCGCAACCGTAGTAGTTGCGGTCATTTTCCGGGATGTGATCAACGTCATGAAAAATTATGCAGTCCCAGTCCAGGTCCTTCATGGCCTCCTGAAAGCCGACGTTGAAGAGCATGGCACGATTGAAGGGCTGTGTGCCCGTCTGGGAGGGATGGGAAGGGAGGATGTGAATGTAGTGTTATGGGGAAACAAGGCCTCAAAATCCACAGGGAAATTGAGGACAAACTCAATTCTGACACACTATAGGGTCTTATTGGGCTAAATCGAGAACAGTTGTCCTACTCATGGCGGGGTTCAAAGCCTTGTTCATCCTGTCAGCGAAGTACATGCGAGTTTAAAGGCAAAAGACATGGTACATTTTGGCAGATAACAGTTGTGCATAGGAGGAACTCCATCATATGGTGCACTCTCAATAATTACCAGGCCTTTATATGACGAGCATGAACATTTGTCCGGACGCCAGCTTTTAGATGCTATATGGACATTTACTTACGGACAAAATTTGGTAAGCAGATTAGTAGTACGCCTAAAATATTGTGGCATATTGTGCATACAGGCATATTGTGATGTCCAAAATTTAGTAATCTGTAAAAATTTGGAGTATCCTTAAGTTTATTAAATTCAGTTAGCAGAGCACGCCACATAATACTGTCTTTGGTATATAATGGAAGCGATTTATAAGCACTGAAGTGGCGGTGAAGAAAGGGGCAGCTCATTCTTTTCAAGGTATTATAGATAAGGTAAAAAAGATGTTGGTAGTGTGGCAGTACTTTTTGCAGTTTAAAGTCCGACATGCTTATTAAAACTTAAGAATACTCCGAATTTACACAGATTACTAACTTTTGGGTACACCTCTCATTAATATTTTAGGCATACTACTAATCTGTTTACCAAATTGTGGGCATAAGTAAACATTCATATAGTACAGTGAAGCTGGTGTCCAATAAAAATGTTTACGCCCGTCATATAAAGCCCTAGTGATTACTGCAAGTGTGCCATGTGATCGAGATTATACCGCGAGAGCCCTAGGAGGAACATAGAATGTTCAGATATACAGCACTTACAGAAGACATAGCACATCAAGAAGAGCAAGATAAAATATATGGCTGTGCATTGTTCCCCTTCTTACATTTGTGAGTTTGTTGCATTTCATTATCATCTGATTAAGACCATGGACAGACAGTCCCGCTACAACTTGACTAATGTGTTCCTGAGAAACCTGGTGTTCACTAGAATCGTGTACTAAAATACACATATACAATGGGGAAAAAGGATTAGGGGAATGTGACTACAAAACTTAGTAATTTATGCCAAACGAAACAAGTTAAAAAATAAAAGCAGTGATACCAGTGGCCAATAATGTAATTATATGCATTTTAAATAAGAAATAGCAATACATTAATAGATTACATTATAAGCATCCCCTATGGGTCTTGTGAGTCTCACGAGAATTGCCTATTAACCGCTTCAACTGAACGCGTCAAACACACCAACTTGTCGATTGCCGGTCGGCAATAGTGATGGCCATAATGACGAATCATGAACCATTTGCTGTATTTTCTAGCCCCACTAGATGGTGCTCTTGGTTTATCTTAGGGTATGCTTCAAGCCCATTTTTGAAGAAAAAGCATACCATACGTGGAGGGGCACTGAATGCAACATGGCTACAGTCTACAAAAAGCAAATGGAAGTGAATTTTAAACCATTGCTGTGTTTTTAAGCTTATGATAATATGTTGCCCTGCAGCTATTATTATTTGGAGGTTTGTAACGTATGGACTTTTTCATTTTAAGAGTAAAAAAAAAAAAGCAAAAAAGGTCAATGTCGTGTTATCTGGTGAATTTAAACATACTGGAAAATGATACAAGTAACTGACATTTGTTATTTAAATCTGTTGCCCCTGTTCCTGTTTGGTAAACTAATATATGTCAGACAAAGTTGGCTCATTTTCAGTTAATTGTTATTTTCCAGTCAGTATTTCACTTGAGTGAAGATCCTATAACTTAGTGCGGTTAACATTTTTCTTTTTATTATGAAAATTAAATTTTGCATGGAAGAAAAGTTGATTTTTGTTTTTATATGCTGTGAATTATAGTTCTTGGAAAGAAAATCGGAAAAATCTGCAAAAATGACCTAATCAGTAGGTCACACTTGGAAAAGGAAAAAAAAAAAGGAAATTGAAAATTACAATCGGTGCATCTCTATAATTTGTCAAATATTTTTACATTTTCAGAATCTAAAACCTGTGCAATGTGTGGATGTACAAAAGGTTCAATTCTTTTACATTTGGAAACTGGTTTGACCAATTCACTGAAAAGAACAATTCATTCACGAATCGGACATCACTATAATTCATTTTGATAGCTGACTTAGGGTGCAAGTAGCGTTTCTTGCTAAGACCATATCGTGTTGTAGTTCGCATAAAGCATTTCTCTCCAGTTGAAAATCATGCAAATACGAATGCAACTCTGTGTTGTCCCTCAGTCACATTAGAACAGATTTGTGGTGTGATAGCAGGACTGACTGTATGGCCACTTCTGATGATTGCGACTTTTTACTACAGCTGGAATATGCCCATTCTCTGCTGACAGCATTTGACATCTAACTAACCAATGAAAAGATGTTTTATCAAGTAATCAATTTAACTAGTTTTTGTGTCTGTACTAGTTAACATATGTATTCATGATCGTTGTTTGTATGGATTATTTTTCACAACATAACTAACTAAAAGCATTGTTAATTGTGAATATAAAGTGAGATCAGTTTGTATCTTGTTGGCACTGACACGTTTAATTTTTATTAGTGATCAGTGGTCATTGTTGACACACCACAGCACACAGTGCACAACAACAAAATGTGTCCTCTGCATTTAACCCATATGTCAGGGGTCACCAACTCCGGTCCTGGAGGGCTACTATCCAGTAAGTTTTCTATCCTACCTGGCTTCTGATGAGCCTAAGAACTAGTGTGGCCCTGCCATATGTGATGTCGTGACATAGCAGGGGGCAACTAATTCAGTGCCTGAGGAGCAGTGCTTGGGGGGGCGGTACCTTGCTGGTCAGGGATTCGAACCTGCCATCTTTAAATTACAAGTGCGCTTCCCTAACCATAAAGCCACCACTGCCCCACTGAATCACTGATTCCAAGCCATGTCCAATTAAAACAAACTGTTCACTGAAGACTGTAACTGTGTAAAGATAGGATTCCATTTGTCCAGCCAAGCGTGTCTCCTTACGTTGTTTTAGATTCATTTTGCAAACTACATTTTGAGAAAATGTACTTTCAGACACTCCTGAAATAATGGATTTTTGGAGATACGCTTTCTTCATTGGACAGCGAGATTATACTTAAGCTACTTTAAGATGTCTGACTATTCCAACTAGAAAGATCATTTTTACACACCTGCTCAATTACATAGAAGGCGAAGCGCAAGTGTTGCCTTTGGAGCATGGGGACCAGCTGCCGAATGAGGATTGGCAGGTGTTCGTGACGGTTCCTGAAGGGAATGAGGATGGCTACCTGGGAAAGGAAATGGGTAAATGGAAACTAAAGGTACAGCTTTTGGAGAAACATAAGTAACATATACTGTAGATAGTATGAAGTATGCAACATTTTGAAGCAATACAAGACTAAACAATTAGAATAATGATCTGATTGCAACAGTTTTTTTGCTTGATCCATTTCCTTTAGTTTGCAATCAAAACAATTCAAACAGAACTCATTGATGCATCACATTCTGTATAGAAAAGCGCACCTTCCAGCGTGGTTTACAGTCTTTGGGTAACCAGTGGCCCCCAGACTGAACATCTGCATATTTGGAAAACTTTAGTTCCACCTCTTCCATCAGAACTTCAGTCATATTGACTTCAATAGGACCCTCTAACAATACAAAAAATACATCCAACAATGATCAGTAACCATTTCATCATTCAATATGTTGGTGATCCGAAAACGATTCTGAGAATGCGGTGCGCATGAAAAAAAATTCAACAGAGAAGACACAAATGCATCATGTGTAGGTGTGCAATCTAAAACAAAGGTCAATTTATTACATTTTGTTCTTACAACCAATTAGGGCTGGGTGATATCATATTGATATTGCATCGCGCATGTGCAATAATCACCAGGGCTTCAGATGACAGGCACAACATTTGGCCGGACACCAGCTTTTTGGTGAAATACGGACATTTATTTACGCCATAATTTAATCAGATTAGTAGTATGGATAAATTATTAATGAGGCTTTGTATGACATCCAAAATTCATTATTAGTATAAATACGGCATATCTTTGTTTAATAAATGTGTCAGACTTTGAACTGAGAAAAGTACCACCACAGCGCCAACGTCTTTGTACCTTGTTTATCCACAAGATCTCCTCTTTTAAAACATATCGTGGCTGGTCTTCTTCACCGCGACTTCAGTGCCTATTGCACTGAGGTATACCAAACCGTAGTATACCAAAACAGTATATTTTAATTAATTATCAAAAATTAATGTCCGTATAGCACCGAAAAGCTGGCGTCCAGCCAAATACTTCGTCTGTCGTCTGAAGCCCTAGTGATTATTGCGCATGCACGATATAATATCGATATGATACCGCCCAGCCCTACAACCAATATTCATGCATTTAACAGAATTAGTTATTCAATTACCTCTAATACACAATTAATTAGCTGAAAGAACATTAACAACAATGTACTGGTGGACCCTTGTTCGTCCATCAAACATGTCCACAGATGGAAAAAAGTACAGTGTTGCTGAGGTTTAAACCTTGTTCCAGAAACTTACTCATAGTCGGAAACTTTTCGGGACATGGGAGATTTGGGGCATATGTGAAGTTGTCAGGAAGATAGGTTGTTGGCTGAGCAATGTACTCACTGGAGTTGCTACCATCAGGGTAATCTTTAGTGAAGAAATACACAAGAAACAAACCTTCAGGTTCTGAACATCTTATTCCACCCCCACACCCCCAGGTTTGTCATCAACAAATACGCAAGTCATGCAGTATAAACTAATTCATTTTTGTTTATTATACATGCTACATCCGTTAACTGAGGCACCAGCAGTGTTGGATCCCTGGTGTTTTTCATTTATTTTTACTCATTTCCCTAATATCCATTTTCAGAATATTCTATGCGTTTGTATTGTGCCGTTTTAAAATTTTGTTTGCACTGTCTGCACTATTTCAACTGTCTTTGTCTTGTTTTGCATTATATGTGTGTGCACACTTTATGTAACTTTCTATTGTATGCACAAGATTTTTCCCCTGGGATCAATTGAGTTTTATCTAGTCTTTCTCTATAACAGACAAGGACTATTCTTTATTTTTAAATTAAGCCTTAATCCCAAAATAATGTACCTACCTACCACAGCTCCCATTGTTTACCACAGTGATGAGAGAGACCAGTGCAGCTAAACATTAAGACCAGCTGAGAAATAACGGAGCTTACCAGTTCCATTTAGAGTGGTGTTTTTGTTGGTGTACAATCTGATCATGTGCCCAATCGTTCTAACATTGTCCCTTAGCATCATACCCTGGGCTTGCACCATGAAGAAGTAGGTGTTTGCTAAAGAGAAAAAGAGGCATAGAGATCATTCTTATGAATCTGCCATAACATTAAACAGCAACATGGAGACAGGCAGAAAGACCCTGTTTTTTTTCCTAAAAAAGAGAGAGTGTGAGTGAGTGTGTAAGTGTGTGTGTGAGTGTGAGAGAGAAAGAGATCCGTTAGGTAAAACTTCAAAAGTTAATCATGGATTAAGTGTAACTAGATTTGGACACAAAACACACATAATCCTAAACAGAACGGCTGTTAAATACAGAATACATTAAACTTTAAAGGAAGCTAGTATGTTTGGCTGGGAACTGCGTAAGGAAATCAAACCGGGCTTTCCTGAATTATTTATTACAAGATGCTGTCCTGAGGCTTATTTACACCAAGCAACAGCGATCTTACGACATGACTGTTTCGCGCCACCCGTTTCTGATGAAGAAACATCGTTACGGTGACACTTTATCTGAAATATCTGCATAGTGTACAATTTGAAGTAGGCTTGAAGCAAAATGCTTACGAAGCCGCTTCACCGAGTTATCGGTCAGGATCTGAATATCTGCGGGTTCATTTTGTAATTTGCCAGGAAGCAATCCACTATTTAGCACCGAAGTTTTACAAAACTGACCCTGCTTCTGGCGCAAAACTACAAGCCGCTACACACAGCATAACGCCTGTGATTCAAAAACGTAGATTGTAGGTTTACTGTGAGTTCCAGCTGCCGATTCTAAGTTTCCCCGATAGATGGTACGGGTGTCCAGGTGGGCAGAGGAACAGGTTGCCGTGAAGTTCGGCGTAGATATTTGATACGCCTCTAGTATTTATTGTAAATCTTGACATTTCACAAAACAGATGGGTCGAAGTAGTGCTAAAACAAACGCCGCACACATTCTCTCCGTCTGTATCGTTATATCATTACTGCTCCCTAATTAGGGATTACATTATGATTATCTGCTGTACCTCGTGACACTACCTAATCAGGCGTTTCACACTGAAGACGTTTAACCTTTTTGCATAGAAAAAGCTCATTTGATTCTTGGGGCTTGCAAATTCACGATAATATATGTAGACAGTGACTAAATACAGTTCGCTTTGAGTGCCGCTGGTATTATGGCCGTAAACATGTCACGGTTTCACGGCCGGCAAAATGCCGCAGGGACTGGGAGTTGCGGAGGATGCGGCTTCCCTCTTCGCCGCGGAGTCGCCTACCCTCCGGACAAGAGCCGGGCCATCAAGGGGCAATTAATACATTAACGGATTTCAAATTGTAAAATGGGTGATCCGACACTGCTAAACAAGGTCGGGATTAATGCATAAATTCACCGATTGCAACAGATCACAGTAACGACCGCAAAGCCCTGCCCGGGCCAATACATCCGTATGGATCTGCTGTCGGAGTGATCACTCACCGATCCCGGGCGCCACATAAATGAAGTAGAGACAGGACGTCGACATGGAGAAGAGAAAGACGAAGGCGAGGAAGGATATCCGCCGCCACCGCCTCCAGCTGATCATTTTTGCTGAGAGCCGCGGATGGAAATGGGACAGTCAGCTAGCTCACCAACAATCCCATGCACATAATATGAGATTCTGCTTTGGGAATGAATGAATAAATAAGTGACAAATCATTCAGCTGCAAAATTTATATAAATCAGCCGACCCTGCAAAAATTCTTCATCCGAGGTGCAGGATGTGTACAAAGCCCGCGTCGTTCATGGTGCCGCGATAAAAAAAAAATCCAGTGTTTATCCCGCGTTGATAAAGTGATTAGCCCGTGTTAAACTGGGCTGGCAAGACACCTAAAGCGAGGAAACTTCCAGATGGAAAAAGCCCCCCAGGCCTTAACAAGGACTATGTAGCCCACCAGGCATGCTGTACCCGTTTATGAAACGTCAGACGAACAATCATGACTCTCCGCGGCTGAAACACTGGCATCCCCACATGTTTACTGTAGGATGGCGTCCTCCGCCTACGAAAAAGGGGCTTTTAAAAAACGATCATGCGGAAAAAGAGATCCGGGGTTGCCTCCTCCCACTCGCCAATCTTCCCTAAACTCTCGCTCGGTTAGACGCCTTGCTTGGTGCTCCGAGCCGTGACGCCTACCGGGGCACAATTCAAGGTACGGCCGCCCAAAATGCCAGGTTTATTGGGAAATTTGTTAGCAACATTTGCAGGTACAAAAGTCAGAAAAACCAGATCTCATTTCAATTCATTTCATTTCATCCGAAATTGCAGGGAGCCGTCCCGGTGGGCGTGACCTACCGCCCTGACTGGGGAGGGCACCTCTCCTAGCTACCAATCACTATTCGAATTAACCCACCGGGCATCAAATATAAAACCAATGGGCTAAGATATTCGGTGATTGACAAGAAGTGGTAATCCCGCCCACCGTGCGCTTCAAGGTCCATTCTTACCTTGGCCAGGACATACCTAATATGTAGGATTCATACTCTGTTTAATCTGGATTGTGACTTAATACGAGTCATTTATAGATTAACCTGGGTAATTATGCATTGTCCATGTTTCAATGTAATAACGTCACAGTAGTCCTTCCCTGCATTACTCCAGGATATGTTTCATTCTCAGATTGAGAAACATAAAAGGCTCGGGCAGCAGGAAGGGAGTTTAGTCTTTTGAATTCGTAGGCTGTCGTAAACTGGTGTCACCACATTCCCTACAAATGTCGATTAATGAGTAACAGTGTACCTGAGTTCATCTCGGAAAATATCAGAAGGGCTATTGAATGTTCCCTGAATTTAATGTTTTTAATGTTGCCCTTCTGTCACTGAATAGTCTTATTAGGTTCTTGATTTGTTATGTAGCCCTTGCTCCAAAACGATTTACACGTATCTGGGCATTAATTGGAAGCTTATCTTAGGCGCATCTATGCCTATCCCAGTCCTCTACAGCACGTATGTTTGTAACGTGCTGTTTGCGTCGCTTGTACGTCGCTTAGGACAAAAATTTCTGCTAAATAAAAATAAACGTAAATTAATAGAATCCTTTAGGCTGTGCGATTGGTTATAAAGGCCCCTATTAGCCGTATCATCTGATGGTTTAGATTATAGGCTATGTATTTATGATTGTTACGGATAATGTGTTTCAAATTATTAATCGTTGTTCATATGTAATTAATGAAGTTATGTTCTTCATTGTGGTTGTTTGGTGTGTTTAGGTCTAGGGGCATGTTGTTAACTAAGGTAGCTTTGTTTGTTCAATTATATACAAGGGGCGTTCAATAATTGATCTACCTGAGTATGAAAGAAAAGAGTTTCCAAAAAAAAAATTGTTTTATTTTTCAATATAGTCCACTGATAACTCCGTACACTTCATCCACTTTTCCTGCAATGACCTTAACCTCTTTGAAAAATAATCTTCTGTTTGACCTTCAAACCAGGATGTCATAGATGCCTTGACGTCTTCATCACTTGAAACCCGTTGTCCACAGAGAGATTTCTTAAAAACTAGGAATAGAAAAAAATCTGAGTGAGCCAGGTCAGGACTGTAGGGTGGATGGTTCAGCTATTGGAACCCACATATTTGGATAGCAGACTGCGATTGACGTGACATGTGATCTGGCGTATTTTCGTGAAGAAGCAGCACGTCTGCTGTGAGTTTTCCTCATCTTTTCGCCTTGATTGATTCCCAAAAAGCGATCATTATGTTGCCATAACTCTCCCCAGTTATGGTTGTCTTTTGTGGTGTCATGACACGGAGAACACGGACCAGGGAAACAGGCGGACGAAAGCAGGAATGGGGTGAAATAAAAGGATTTAATTGGAAAACGAAGGGGCATAACAGGGAAAAAACAACAAAACGGAACTACACCAATATAACAAGGCACGACACTACAATGACAGAACTAGGGAAACAAACGTGGACTTAAATACATCGAACTAATACAGACAATTGAAAACAGTCGTGAAACACTGGGAATCGACATGAGGTTAACGAGGGGGCGTGGCACAGGAGGATCAGCACGATCGGGGTGTGACAGAACCCCCCCCAAAGGCGCGCACACCGGGCGTGCCCCAGGGGAGCGGACAGACGGAACCGGGGACACAGGACCTGGAAAACAAAAGCAAAAAAAATTCAACCAGACACAGGGCACAAGACAGATACACAGAACAAACACAAAGACAGGAACTCCGACAACAAACGACAAACCACAGGAAAAGCCAACAAGCACAGGGGCAACAACACAGGAGACACAGGGGGAACACCAACGGGAGGAACAAAGGGGCCAGGGGCGAACGAAGGAGAAACAGGAGGACAAGGAGCAGACACAGGGGACACAAAAGGACCGAAAGGCACAGAGGGACCGGGGACAAACACAGGAGTCACAAAGGCAGGGGGCACAGAGGAGAAGGGCAGGGGGAAACGGGGAGCCGCAGGGAACCCAGGCAGGCGAGGGGCGGAAGCCGCAGGGGCAGCAGGCGACCGCGAGGCCGAAGCCGAAGGGACCCTAGGCGAGCGTGAGGGGGGAGCCAGAGGAAACGCCGCAGGCGGTGAGGAGGAGGGCAGAGGGACGGACGGACGGGGCAAGGAGGGAGAAGAAGGGGACCCAGGCAAAGGGGAGAAGGGAGCAGCAGCTGCGGCAGACGAAGGCGCAGCCGACCGCCGAACCGGAGATGGGGGACCCGCAGGCGACCGACGAAGCGCCGGAGGCGGGACAGCAGCCAGCCGACGGGGCACCGAAGGCGGAACCGGAGGTGACCGCCGAGCTGAAGCCAGGGGGGCCACAGGCGACTGTCGAGCGGGAGCTGGAGGACCCACAGGCGACCGCCGAGCCACAGCCAGGGCGGGCGGGACCCAACCACGGCGCCGGTGTCCTCTCCCTTTTTGGGAGACTGAAAGGCGGGGACCTGGCCGGGACCCGCTGCTCTGGGGCAAGGGTGGAGGAGTCACAGGGGAGGTCACGGGGGAAGTCACTGGGAAAAGCACGGGGGAAAGAGTCCTGAAGGAGGTCAGGGAGATCCCCGAGGGATCCCACTCCAGCTCCTCCTCAGTCTCCACTACGGAGGAAGGAGCGTCGGCCTGGCAGACCGCGGTCTTGGGCAGCACAGCAGCAGGGGTCTCTAGAGCCACGGGGAACACTGCAGGGGCCGCTGGAGCCGTGGGGAGCTGAGCGGGGAGCTCAGGAGTCATGGGGACCTGAGTGGGGAGCATAGGAGTCACGGGGAATACAGGAGTCACGAGGACCACTGGGGGCTGAGTAGGGGCCTCAGGGGGCAAAGCAGCAGCAGGGGCTGCGGGCGGCGTAGCAGCAGCCGGGGACTGAGCAGGGAGCTCAGGCACTGGAGTCACGGGGAGCACTGGAGTCACGGGGAGCACTGGAGTCTGGATGGGCGGCGCAGGAGGGGGCACCTCAGGCGTGCGGTCGTCAGGGGGTGCCTCGGCGGGCACCTCGGGCGTGTGGCCAGCAGGGGGCGCCTCGGCGGGCACCTCGGGCGTGCGGCCAGCAAGGGGTGCCTCGGCGGGCGGAGCTGCAGGCACAGGAGTCACTGGAGAAGCAGCTGCAGGCACGGGAACCATGGGAGGCGCCGCCCGCCTCCGAAACCGCGGAACCCGTGGCGAGTCCCGGAGAAGGGGCGCGCTGCTACTGAGGGCAGCGAAGCGGCGAGCGGCTGTTGTGAGAGGGTGGCAACGGTCACCTCCGGAGCGAACACCGTCGGGTTCAGAATCGGGGGCGGGTCTTCCCGACACGGAGCAAAGCAGGCGGCGGAGAGCGAAACTGTCCCCAGGAAGACCTCCGTCGCGTCTTCCTTCTTCCGGTTTCTCCACCTTTTCTCTCTGCTTGCAGCCGCGGGTTGCAGAGTCTGGGGCACCTCAGGAAGCGGGGACAGGAGACCGAAAGGCATGCCGCAGTCGGTGGCTACTTACCTCATGTTAGCCTCTGCAACCCCACGTCTCAGCCGTCGCAGGTCCTCACACACCTCGTCTGCGAGGTGCGTGTCGTCGGGCAGGGATAGCTCCTCAAGGGTATCCCACACCCGGATAGCAAGGGCTTGCAGCACGGGGTCCTCCCTTACCTCCGGCCGCTCAAGCCAATGCAGAGTTTCGTTAACCAGACCGAGGTATTGATCCTCGGTCAAGGTCGGCGTCTTCTTCTGGAGTTCTGTCATTCTGTCATGACACGGAGAACACGGACCAGGGAAACAGGCGGACGAAAGCAGGAATGGGGTGAAATAAAAGGATTTAATTGGAAAACGAAGGGGCATAACAGGGAAAAAACAACAAAACGGAACTACACCAATATAACAAGGCACGACACTACAATGACAGAACTAGGGAAACAAACTCTGACGTGGACTTAAATACATCAAACTAATACAGACAATTGAAAACAGTCGTGAAACACTGGGAATCGTCATGAGGTTAACGAGGGGGCGTGGCACAGGAGGATCAGCACGATCGGGGTGTGACATGTGGCGTGTGCTCCAGAAGCAAAAGTCCTTCAATATCCCAGAAAACAGTTGCCATGACTTTGCTTGCAGATGTTTCTGCTTTGAACTTTTTTGGGGTGGGGATGGCTTGTGCTTCCACTGCATTGACTCCATTTTGGACTCAGGATCTCTGTGGTAGACCCAAGTCTCATCTCCAGTCACCAAACGATGAAAACAATTCACTTGGTCTAAACAGAACATCTGCAAGTTCTCCTGACAGCACTGGAGCCTTGTGGCCTTCAGACATGGCATCAGCATTCTTGGAGCCCATCTTGCACTGACCATTGACATGCCCAACTTTTCATGAATTATTTCCCAAACTGTACCTGCTGAGATGCCCATTTCGTCAGCTATTCGGGAAACCTTAAGTCGTCTGTCTAACCAAATTAAATCCTCAACTTTCATGCACATTTCTGTGGAAAATCCAGTGTGAGGGTCATCTTCAATGGACTCTCTACCCCACTGAAACTGCTTGCTCCAAAATTTTACTTTGTAGGATGATGGGGCAGACCCATAAACTGCAGTCATGCGTTCATGGATCTCCTTTGGCTTTTTCCCTTCTTTTGTGAGAAATTTTATCACTGATCATTACTCCTAATCTAGCATTTTCTTATTTGATTCGTATGAGAACTCTTTGGACATCCAGTCTCTTGGAATGTTAGACTGCCACTGAGCCACAACTGTGCATGAGTAACCTTAAGACATGTCACAACATGCCCAGACTTGCTTCAACATGCTTGCTCCTTTCTTTCATACTCAGGTAGATAAATTATTGAACGCCCCTCGTCATAAAAATAATAGTTATTGTAATACTACTTTTA